AAGCTTGTCTTTGGTTTAACCATTGGAATTAAAAAAACAAAAAAACGTACCCCTCTTTTATTTTTGCAATTGCCATTTTTCTAATTTCGTTTTAAAAACGAAAAAACAAAAAAACGTACCCCTCTTTTATTTTTGCAATTGCCATTTTTCTAATTTCGTTTTAAAAACGAAAAAACAAAAAAACACATGCTTGTTTTGTTTTTGCAATTTTATTTTGAAACGAAAAAAAAACAAACAAAGAACGAATCATACACGGATTTTCAATATTGAACCTTTTCACAATTTTCTAATTTTCTGAGATACTGCATTTTGAGTTTTCACTAGTTGTCAGTAATAATCAACAATAAAAGAAAATAAAAGAAACTGGCACCTGGAACATATCTGTATGTAATAAATAAATATAATATACAAATGTTACTTTTTGAATGGATTTACTGATTTAAATACATTTTTTCATGACATTCAAATTTTTTGACCAGCCCCTGTATGTCAAAAATAATTTGAAAGAAATTTGACTTCACATCAGCTGATGCCTTTATATTGGCCTCCATTTCTTTAAGAACCCAGCCAGCATACCAAGGTGGGTCCCTGTATGGGATAAATGAAAAACCAAGGATAGAACCTTCTGGGAACCATATGGGGCCCACCCAGGTAGCACCTGGCTGGGAAGCACTTCATGTCATCACAATATTTCTCTATGTTGCTGTTTAGAAAAGTAGCTAGGATAAGCTCAGCAGTTCAACCAGGTGTTGGCCTCCAGTCTGGTGGTGTGTGAGGGAGGCTAGGCGGAAGGCTGAGAAAGGAGAATGTGGTAGCATTTCAGGTTCTTTCAGCAGTTATAAAAAATATATTTTTGAAATATTTGTAAAAATATGTAAAAAAAAAAAAATCTCTGCTACACTACTACTTGCATAGCATGTTGTGACTGCTATGCTAGTCTAGTTTAGCATGGCCACTGAGGATGGCAGATAAACAGTTTTCCTGTAACTGTAAGTCATTTCTCCGCCAGTAGCACATTTAGCAGAAGAGAATCCACCATGCACACTCAGAAAGACCCTGGGTCGGGAATCAAACCCAGAACCTTCTTGCTGTAAGGCAACAGTGATACCCAGGCTCTAATGAACATGTGGAGGAAACTGAAATATAACCCACAGCTTTCAGTCTGCAAGACAAGCAGCCTTGCCACTCTATATGTGATCTGATTTGCAGAACAAATTCACAAATTTGTTTTTGCCACTGAAATTCTGCATTATTGAGATAATGTATGTTCAGAATCTTATATGAAAATAAATTTAATGTACAAATCAAGTTTTATTACAAATTTTTTTGCATTGAGGTGATTCAGTCATTGGTTTTTGATTTCATGTCATACATATCTATTTTCCTTTTGGAAAAAATGAGAAAACAGAGAAAAATATACATTATTTTAACTATTTTCTTTATTCTGTCAGACAACCAAATACATTAGATGTACAATTTGAAATGATATGCAAGTAAAACATGAGGAGCGTAAATCACTTTGTCTTTTTAAAGATATTTCACAGCTGTCAACTCGACTGGCGACCTTTTCAGGTGACCCCCGCCTCTCGCCCGAAACGTTCACTGGAGAGCAGCACCAGCACCCCTCCCAGCCCCAGTAAGGGACAAGGGTGTACAGCAAATGGATGGACGGACAGCTGTCAACTCTTTTTTAGGAGTTCAGCTGAAGAGCACACACATTAATTCCTTCTACTCTATTCATGCCATGTTGGACATGGTGAGAAGCCTCGCCCCCAAGATCAGTATTTCCAGGAATCCCCCTTTCTCATGAGTGAAGGGATTCCTGGGAAAACTGGACCCCAGAGAAAAGGGTAAAGGAAAAACAAGCTGAAAAGAGTGACTGTTCAAAATTCTACTTTTGGGGGGAAAAAAAGAAAAGAAAAGCTGAGTATTTTATGAACTCAGCTGGAGTTCATAAAATAAGAAAGGAGCAATACAAAACAGAAAAAAATTACAGAATGGTTGACAAAAATATCCGTTATAACTCCATGGGTGCCAGATTCACTTTCTCCTTTCTTCTCTAGAGAAACATGTCACAGTCCTGCTAATCTTGATAGATGCTTCTTCCTTGTTACAGACGTACCTCAACAGCTCTGTCTGTCCTCCGTCCCGAGCTACAGTGCTTCATCTCAGACTACCAACTGACCAGAGATGCAGCACTGCACCACGGGCCACAGGGATAAGCAGCAAGTCAACAGATGCAGCACATTTATTTCAGGACTTAATAGTATAAAAACAAACAAAAGACTAAAAAAAAACATCTGTCATTAACATTACCTATATGTTAAAAAATAAAAAGAGTGCAATGATGTATGAATTACTACATTAATAAATTAAATCATATTATTACATTTAATATTTAATTTCCGTTTGGAATCAAAAAAGTATTTTTGAATTGGGTTGAATTGAAATGTGTGAAGAGATGAGCTTCATTTCCAGGGACCTACATGATTTCCCATGTTGCTGTTTGACCTTGTAGATGGAGGAAGCAGACGGTGGATTATGAAGATACACATTCTTCACTTCTTTCTATAAGTAAGCAGAAAACAGTAAGTAAACTTTCTTTTATGTATGTTTCAAGTTGGAGCAGGAAGTGTGCTCTTACACTTAAATACATATTTTATCCTAATCAAAGGCAATTAACAATACTTTAAAAATATTACCTTCTCCATCTCCATTTTTGTACAGATATGAATCCCTCATGTTGTCCTCTGAACAGCTGCTATGTTTTCCTGAAGCAATCCCCATCTTGGTATAACACCTTAGAAAAAACACAGCAGGAAGCAGTTTGCTGACTTATGAAAAAGATGTTTGTTCCTCTTTTATGGCCCAGCTCTGACATTCACAAAGCAGAGAATTACATCAGCAAACTTGGGTTAAGAAGTTACTAAATGAGAAAGAATTCATACTGGAGTTTTCTTACTTTTCTTTGGTAGAAATTCTTTCTGTCCTTATTTGGTAGTTTTTGCATTTTGAGGACCTTGGAAAAGGGATCGCAGCATACGATAAACATTTGCTCTTCCACTAACAGCCAGCCCCCGCCCTCCGCCCCACAGCCAACTACATACATTCCCTTTTCAAGTCACAGAGTGGACAAGCTGTTCAGGCAGCTTAGGGAGCCTTTATCTTCCATAGTCCTTCTCCATCTGCAATGGGCTAAATAAGGTCATATTAAGAAGAAAGACGTTCAATGGTCAAACCCCACGGATCTGTCTGGGAAGTAAGAAAACCCACAATCCTATGTCTGTGTCAATGTATGTTCCAAGTTGCTTTTGTTTCACCAAACATTTAGTTAATTAAAGCAGGATCCACTGCTTTAATTAACTGCTTGTTTATTTCATTCCAGTCTGGCTTTTCGTATGAAAAAGATCTTTGTTCTGCTAAATGGCTTTTATGGCTATTTAGAAAACATTATTACAATAGAAAACAGTAACTGTAATAGCTGCTCTGTTGGTTTTCTTTTTTCACTAAGGACATTTTTTCTTCAACCACAGTCTGCACCATAGCTGGCAGATCAGTTAGTCCTTCTCCAGGCTGTGCACAAGAAAAGTGCAGCATGCATAGTTAATGTTAAATCACCAGACAGAATATGAATATTTTCAGGAGGAAAGAAGGGAGGATAAGATCAGATTGATTTCAGTCTCTCCTTTTTTGGCCACAGTTGGGAATGGTGTGTGTTTATGCAGACTGTGATAAGAGTCAGAGCCATCTCTCCTGCAAATCCAAACATTGCCTAATATGGTCAGGCTTCTCATTCCTTCTTGTTCTTTAAATCACATGCAGGAAGCACACTGTTCTATGTTTTGTCAGTCTCCTTGCTTCAGCTCATTTCTCTCTTCTCCCTTTGATTCACACAGATCAAGAATGGTTTGGCATTTGAGTAGAAATCAGATTTAGTTGTTGTTAATCTGTTTGAAACCATAAATAGAGATGAGACCTGTGCTGATTTCAGTCACAATGTATCAATCAACAGTCCAGTAGATTTATATCTTATAAATGATCTTAACTGTCTACTGGTGTTTCACTGGAAGGAAGTTGTTTGGATTTAGTCTCATAATGTCAAATCCTAGAATGTCACAGACATTCACTTGTACAAAATGTTTTAAAACAAACTTTTGCATAAGTTGAGTTTTACTGCAGTCAATTTGTATTAACTTTTCTCATCCCAGTATCTTCTGCTCTGCCCCTCCCCCTCCATGTGAAAATTATCCTGGGAATGGTAGTTTCTTAATCCCACTGGGGAAACAATGTCGAGGGTTATGGGAAAGCCTTTAGACAGTGCCCTTCAGGATTTCAGTCAATAAATACAGCACTTCCTTTCCTCTCTGTCATCTGCAGAGCAGTTTCAGATACACTATTCCAGCTTGTAGCTGGTGGTGAGAGCTCACCAACTTAAATCCCCAAAATGTTTCCCCTGGTTCTGCTCATCCGAATCAACCTCTGGATGTTAACTCAGGAAAATATCCAGAACATGGAGCTGGAGTTGTTGACTGTAAGCAGGAAACTTTACAGAAGAGACAATGAAAAATGTGTTTTAAAAATAATATGGTGGCTCTTGATGGATCCATTAATTAGCACTCCATAAAAGAGACCCTACTTATAAAGAAAGGGATTGTCAATAGACCTGAACTTACAAAGCACTTTCCAGCCATTTTGACCACATTCACCAACACTCAGCGTAACTTGGGGTTAAGCTGGAAATAAACCTACAACCTTCTAATCAGAAGACATCTACGCTACCCAATGAGCCACAGTTACTCCGACATAACTTATGATTTCAAATGCATTGGAGAGCAGACACCAAGCAAAGCTTCTGGCGTAGCATGACATGGTCCTACATTACAATTTGAGATCAGTGTAAATTCAGCAAAAAGGTTATTTCAGTGACAGGCAGAGGACAGCGATTCCAAAAAAATTGTACTGAAGCAACTTCAGCATATTTTTACCCAGGTAAAAAGAATCCATCCAAGAAATAACTCTTGTTTTTTGGAAAAAAATTTTTTTATAAAATGGCTACTTAACTGATAAATTAATACTTTTATAAATTAATTAAAACTAAATAAAATTGTGTTTGTATAGCACCTTCAAAAATCTGGGTTAAATTATGTAATGGTATAAACTCAAAATGCATAACATGTAAAATAGACTTGAAAGCCAATCTTTTGCTAAAATGAGTTTCATTCATTTAAAATGAATTAAACTCATGAATTAATTAATTAAATTAAGTTTAATTTAATTTAAAAAGCTTATTTTTTATTTGTGAAATTTGCTTAAAAGAGACTTAGAAGAGGACAATTGAAGAGACTTGTTTAATCATAAGTGCAGATCATTCCCTAAAATCCTGACCACAAAAGCTGGATGACCTTCAGTTTTCAGTCCTGATCTGGACGCAGATCATCTGACCAGTTGCAGATGGTTGGTGTAAGGAGTCAGTAGCTCCAAATACAGAAAGAAAACTAAAATCTTAAAATTAACACTTTTTATTGATTTGAATTTTATTATTTTATTCTTCTTTAGAAAGAAAAATAAAATAATAAAATCAACACTGTTACATCCCAGGTAACAAGTGCAAAGAAGCAAGAGTTGGAGTTCTACGGCAGACTCTGCTGTGCTCTGTACTAACTGGAGACAATTGAGGTCTATATATGTGTGTGTGTGTGTGTGTGTGTGTGTGGGTGTGTGTGTGTGTGTGTGTGTGTGTGTGTGTGAGTGCTGGAACACCATACAGTATTTTATGATACAGTATCTTTAAATTGCACAAAGGGCTCAGTCTGTGGAAAATAGCAAAACAACAAATCCTGTGAACACGGGGAAGCAGCAATTCTTATATTGGGTCAGAGGAATCTGACAGCGTAGAGCTTTTTCATCTCTCACTCCAGGATTCAACACATAACTATGCCAACGAGATCCATCTAGATCATTTATTGCCCCCCATCCCCAACCAAAAAAGACTATGTATTTCTGTAAGAACACAATTTAAGCTTAAAATTTAAAAGTTGACTTACTGGTTTCAGTTGTGGAGAAATTGCTGTGGTCATACCTGAATGTTTTGCTGCAGGTCAGCAGAGATGCCGCTGGATGTTTTCCTTTGAAACCGGCAAAAAGAAGCTGATGTGGACTGTCTTCCAGTCTTCCAGTTGAAAACAATTATAAGTTTCAGCAGATGTACCTGAAAGCAGGAGGTGATTAAATAAATAACAGATTTTATAAGTCTGAAGTTTAAGATCAGAGGTGCAATCAGAGGGTTTCTCACCAGATTGCTGCTTTCTGATCTTTGCACGTGTCTCTTTTATGGAGCAGCTGGACCCCCAGTCCAAAGCATTCCACCATCTCCTTGTATGGATGCTAATGGGTGGGATTTAGAACAGAAAAGCCTCCTCTAGATTTGACTGTAAAGCTGATGTTACAGAAGTTGCCACTATGGATGTAGCATATTTCAGGGAAACATAAGAATATTGCAGAGAAACTAAAGATGGAATAAATTAGTATGTCTAAAATGGGAGAAAAAAACTAATGAAATAAAAGGAGCATAAAGAGAGACTTTGGGAAAAGAAGTGAAATAGACGGGCAAAAATTGTGAAGAAAGCTGTGTTAGAAATTAGAATTTTATTGTAAGGACATCAGCTTGACCAAAACTGACACATGATGATTAATCTCTATGTAAAAGAAACTACAGATTTATGCAAAAGAAGAGGAGATAGTGATCGATTAGATTTACTTGCGTTTTAATAATATTCAATAATAATAATATTTAAGTTTGCAGTAGTTTTGCTGCAACATGTTTGAAGAATTGTATTCAGAAGCAAATTAAGCAAATTTGTGGCTATTTAACAAACTTCACTGAATAAAGAAATTACAAGTTTTAGCAAAATATTTACCAGAAATGGATACAAACATGCAATTTGCTAAAATGAGACTTCTGGTTTAATTAATTAAATAATAATAATAATAATAATAATAATAATAGGGCTGCACAGTGGTGCAGTTGGTAGAGCTGTTGTCTTGCAGTAAGAAGGTTCTGGGTTCGATTCCCCACCCAGGTCTTTCTGCATGGAGTTTGCATGTTCTCCCTCTGCATGGTGGGTTCTTCCTCCCACAGTCCAGAAACATGACTGTCAGATTAACTGGTTTCTCTACATTCTCCATGTGTGTGGTTGTTTGTCCTCTCTGTCTCGGTGTTACCCCATGTTACCCTGCCTCTCACCCAAAATGCCTTGCTGGAGATGGGCATCAGCTCCTTTCACATCCACCCATTTTCCCCTCCAGAAAATGGATGGAACAATAAAAATAGAAATGCTTCTTTGTCCTAGGGTTATTTTCTATTTGCTGAGTCTGATCTGGAGGGAAAGTGCCAATACAATATTGTAAATATTGTTTAAAATCTAATGTTTCTTCTGCCTGAATTACTTATTGGTTTTTATTTCTATATTTGTTTCATTTTAGTTAAGTTTTCAAATACCAGAAATTGCATATAACTTTGTCTGTGTGATTAAATAGTTTTCTTAAATGTTAAATCAGATGTTAAGATTACACAATTTCTCAGTACCAGAGTAACTTTTTTCTCCAAATACCTTCTACTCTCGAGTCGTGTGTATAAAACACTGCAGCGTCTAAGACAATAGATACTATATTAGCTGTCAAGGACATTAAACTATCTTGTCCTCAGCAATCAGAGCAGGCCGACTCATGGCTCCTTCATTCCTAAAAGGTAGAATATGTGCTAACACGTTATATGCTGTTGTAAAGAGAGGCCCAGACTAATGGAGGACTTTCAGTTTGCACTAAGTTATAAACGTCCTTTCTTCAAGAAAGACATTACAAGTGTAATGTCTTTTCCTTATTTCTCTTTTGACTCTTATTTTCTGTTGTGTTTGCTTTAGTATCTCCCTGCTAATGCCATATAAGGGGCCTGATGGGACCTGCTCTCACTCTCTCTGTTTGCTCTTTGGTTTGTCTCTTAATAAGGTCATGTTTGGGGATAATTGACCATGTAGAGAAACTGACTGGTCTGAACTGCTAACAGTTGCAGTGAACTGTACACCCTTTATTCACAAGGAGTCACAAAACTCAAGTCCAACTAATAGAGATATTGGCTATAAATGAATACTGAAAACCCAAAGAGCTGAGAATGTGGCCGTCTGTATGTTGACTATACAAAACAAGAGTGACATAAATCCAAATCTTTATGAAAGAACTTAGCTATGGTGTGTAATATACTTCTTGCCCACACCACTGGAGATTGACACCAGATAAACCAATATCTGGTGCCAAGGATGGATGAACATCTGGACATGTATGTTGTGTCTTAGGTAATTGTCAGGTGACTATTTACTGAACGGTAGCAGGAAAGAACCCATTGGCTGGCATCTAGCAGGCATACTAACAGGAGACGCCTGAATTGGTTTTGGTTTTTCACTTCTATGTTAAGGCTGAGACGGGATTGGGAAACATGGATCTATCCTTCTCTTTTCCTGGAATTTGGTTTGGTTGGATCAGTTCTGCTTAGCAGAACTGAACTGTTAATTTTGTTTTTTATAAATGAACAACAAAAACCCCCAATAAAAATAAATGATCTTCCTGAGTCCTTTTCCTGCTTTCCTGCTCACAGCCCCTTATCAAAAAGAAGCATCACTCAGGTACATGTCATTATATAGAAAAGTATATTTCCCAAAGCGTACTAGCAGGACACTAGCAAGTGTACTTTATTGGGACTGAAAAGTATACTTTGAATCTTGACGTTTTAGTGAGTAAATTTACAGTATACATGGAAGAACACTAGGTACATTAAAAACAAATGTTCAAATATAATAAATACACTTTCTAATTGTATTCTGCTCCATCTTTAATGCTAAGCAAAAAAATATATATAACAAAATTTGTGCCAAAAATAATGCGACTCAACCAAACAGTTTCAATAACATTAAAAACCCATTATAAAATTAGCAATGCAGTTTAAATAACAGCCCACTGAAAAAGAACTAGAATGTAACCAAATAAAAACTCTTGATCAAGATCCAAGAGATGAACATATTAGAGCATTACTAAACTGTGAACCATCTCAATAGTCTTCCAGTGTTAGAACACACACACATGTTGACATTGGTGACTTATGGCTTCATGGAGATGGCAGTAACCACAGGTGAAGGCGTTGAAGTGGTGGTGATGTTCAGGTCACGAGTCTCTTCTCCAGTGCTGATGGTGACCAGGTCCGTCTCCTCTGCAGCACCGTCCCACTCATCCAAGTTCAAGGCCCCATCCCAATACTTGCTCTTCTATCCTCGTTCCACCCTTGTGTCCTTCAAATGCACATTCAGCTGTTATTCCAAAAGAACCATCTCTGACTATAAAATGGCCGTGACTTTAGGCAAAAACACAATAATAAATTCATAAGTAACACTCAGATGCCAATTTTATTCCCTGCTACCTAATAATTTTTAAACATTTGTTTAATCCCTAAAAAAGAGAGAACCAAATATTTTTCTTTTCCACTTCCACAAAAATTAATTTGAAAATGATATGCATCAGCTTTGACTGCCAGGGCTCTCCCTATCTGCCAACATCCTCTGGGTACAGTCACATCTGCAATTAGGATAATATCTCCAGGAGAAATGTTCTTTGTCTCATCTACTTTTGTCTTTCCAGCATTAAAGGCAAATACTCAGAAATCCCTATTTTCCAAAATAGTTCAGAGCAATACTTGTTTCCATCTTCGCCTCAGGTCTTAATGAAACAGGTTTGTTCTTTAACATCAGGATGTGATTTGGTGTGAGGGTTTCTAAATGATCTGGATCGTCAGAGACCAATGTGTGAATCTGTCATTCAAAATGGCTTNTTATTCTTCTTTAGAAAGAAAAATAAAATAATAAAATCAACACTGTTACATCCCAGGTAACAAGTGCAAAGAAGCAAGAGTTGGAGTTCTACGGCAGACTCTGCTGTGCTCTGTACTAACTGGAGACAATTGAGGTCTATATATGTGTGTGTGTGTGTGTGTGTGTGTGTGGGTGTGTGTGTGTGTGTGTGTGTGTGTGTGTGTGAGTGCTGGAACACCATACAGTATTTTATGATACAGTATCTTTAAATTGCACAAAGGGCTCAGTCTGTGGAAAATAGCAAAACAACAAATCCTGTGAACACGGGGAAGCAGCAATTCTTATATTGGGTCAGAGGAATCTGACAGCGTAGAGCTTTTTCATCTCTCACTCCAGGATTCAACACATAACTATGCCAACGAGATCCATCTAGATCATTTATTGCCCCCCATCCCCAACCAAAAAAGACTATGTATTTCTGTAAGAACACAATTTAAGCTTAAAATTTAAAAGTTGACTTACTGGTTTCAGTTGTGGAGAAATTGCTGTGGTCATACCTGAATGTTTTGCTGCAGGTCAGCAGAGATGCCGCTGGATGTTTTCCTTTGAAACCGGCAAAAAGAAGCTGATGTGGACTGTCTTCCAGTCTTCCAGTTGAAAACAATTATAAGTTTCAGCAGATGTACCTGAAAGCAGGAGGTGATTAAATAAATAACAGATTTTATAAGTCTGAAGTTTAAGATCAGAGGTGCAATCAGAGGGTTTCTCACCAGATTGCTGCTTTCTGATCTTTGCACGTGTCTCTTTTATGGAGCAGCTGGACCCCCAGTCCAAAGCATTCCACCATCTCCTTGTATGGATGCTAATGGGTGGGATTTAGAACAGAAAAGCCTCCTCTAGATTTGACTGTAAAGCTGATGTTACAGAAGTTGCCACTATGGATGTAGCATATTTCAGGGAAACATAAGAATATTGCAGAGAAACTAAAGATGGAATAAATTAGTATGTCTAAAATGGGAGAAAAAAACTAATGAAATAAAAGGAGCATAAAGAGAGACTTTGGGAAAAGAAGTGAAATAGACGGGCAAAAATTGTGAAGAAAGCTGTGTTAGAAATTAGAATTTTATTGTAAGGACATCAGCTTGACCAAAACTGACACATGATGATTAATCTCTATGTAAAAGAAACTACAGATTTATGCAAAAGTAGAGGTGATAGTGATCGATTAGATTTACTTGCGTTTTAATAATATTCAATAATAATAATATTTAAGTTTGCAGTAGTTTTGCTGCAACATGTTTGAAGAATTGTATTCAGAAGCAAATTAAGCAAATTTGTGGCTATTTAACAAACTTCACTGAATAAAGAAATTACATGTTTTAGCAAAATATTTACCAGAAATGGATACAAACATGCAATTTGCTAAAATGAGACTTCTGGTTTAATTAATTAAATAATAATAATAATAATAATAATAATAATAGGGCTGCACAGTGGTGCAGTTGGTAGAGCTGTTGTCTTGCAGTAAGAAGGTTCTGGGTTCGATTCCCCACCCAGGTCTTTCTGCATGGAGTTTGCATGTTCTCCCTCTGCATGGTGGGTTCTTCCTCCCACAGTCCAGAAACATGACTGTCAGATTAACTGGTTTCTCTACATTCTCCATGTGTGTGGTTGTTTGTCCTCTCTGTCTCGGTGTTACCCCATGTTACCCTGCCTCTCACCCAAAATGCCTTGCTGGAGATGGGCATCAGCTCCTTTCACATCCACCCATTTTCCCCTCCAGAAAATGGATGGAACAATAAAAATAGAAATGCTTCTTTGTCCTAGGGTTATTTTCTATTTGCTGAGTCTGATCTGGAGGGAAAGTGCCAATACAATATTGTAAATATTGTTTAAAATCTAATGTTTCTTCTGCCTGAATTACTTATTGGTTTTTATTTCTATATTTGTTTCATTTTAGTTAAGTTTTCAAATACCAGAAATTGCATATAACTTTGTCTGTGTGATTAAATAGTTTTCTTAAATGTTAAATCAGATGTTAAGATTACACAATTTCTCAGTACCAGAGTAACTTTTTTCTCCAAATACCTTCTACTCTCGAGTCGTGTGTATAAAACACTGCAGCGTCTAAGACAATAGATACTATATTAGCTGTCAAGGACATTAAACTATCTTGTCCTCAGCAATCAGAGCAGGCCGACTCATGGCTCCTTCATTCCTAAAAGGTAGAATATGTGCTAACACGTTATATGCTGTTGTAAAGAGAGGCCCAGACTAATGGAGGACTTTCAGTTTGCACTAAGTTATAAACGTCCTTTCTTCAAGAAAGACATTACAAGTGTAATGTCTTTTCCTTATTTCTCTTTTGACTCTTATTTTCTGTTGTGTTTGCTTTAGTATCTCCCTGCTAATGCCATATAAGGGGCCTGATGGGACCTGCTCTCACTCTCTCTGTTTGCTCTTTGGTTTGTCTCTTAATAAGGTCATGTTTGGGGATAATTGACCATGTAGAGAAACTGACTGGTCTGAACTGCTAACAGTTGCAGTGAACTGTACACCCTTTATTCACAAGGAGTCACAAAACTCAAGTCCAACTAATAGAGATATTGGCTATAAATGAATACTGAAAACCCAAAGAGCTGAGAATGTGGCCGTCTGTATGTTGACTATACAAAACAAGAGTGACATAAATCCAAATCTTTATGAAAGAACTTAGCTATGGTGTGTAATATACTTCTTGCCCACACCACTGGAGATTGACACCAGATAAACCAATATCTGGTGCCAAGGATGGATGAACATCTGGACATGTATGTTGTGTCTTAGGTAATTGTCAGGTGACTATTTACTGAACGGTAGCAGGAAAGAACCCATTGGCTGGCATCTAGCAGGCATACTAACAGGAGACGCCTGAATTGGTTTTGGTTTTTCACTTCTATGTTAAGGCTGAGACGGGATTGGGAAACATGGATCTATCCTTCTCTTTTCCTGGAATTTGGTTTGGTTGGATCAGTTCTGCTTAGCAGAACTGAACTGTTAATTTTGTTTTTTATAAATGAACAACAAAAACCCCCAATAAAAATAAATGATCTTCCTGAGTCCTTTTCCTGCTTTCCTGCTCACAGCCCCTTATCAAAAAGAAGCATCACTCAGGTACATGTCATTATATAGAAAAGTATATTTCCCAAAGCGTACTAGCAGGACACTAGCAAGTGTACTTTATTGGGACTGAAAAGTATACTTTGAATCTTGACGTTTTAGTGAGTAAATTTACAGTATACATGGAAGAACACTAGGTACATTAAAAACAAATGTTCAAATATAATAAATACACTTTCTAATTGTATTCTGCTCCATCTTTAATGCTAAGCAAAAAAATATATATAACAAAATTTGTGCCAAAAATAATGCGACTCAACCAAACAGTTTCAATAACATTAAAAACCCATTATAAAATTAGCAATGCAGTTTAAATAACAGCCCACTGAAAAAGAACTAGAATGTAACCAAATAAAAACTCTTGATCAAGATCCAAGAGATGAACATATTAGAGCATTACTAAACTGTGAACCATCTCAATAGTCTTCCAGTGTTAGAACACACACACATGTTGACATTGGTGACTTATGGCTTCATGGAGATGGCAGTAACCACAGGTGAAGGCGTTGAAGTGGTGGTGATGTTCAGGTCACGAGTCTCTTCTCCAGTGCTGATGGTGACCAGGTCCGTCTCCTCTGCAGCACCGTCCCACTCATCCAAGTTCAAGGCCCCATCCCAATACTTGCTCTTCTATCCTCGTTCCACCCTTGTGTCCTTCAAATGCACATTCAGCTGTTATTCCAAAAGAACCATCTCTGACTATAAAATGGCCGTGACTTTAGGCAAAAACACAATAATAAATTCATAAGTAACACTCAGATGCCAATTTTATTCCCTGCTACCTAATAATTTTTAAACATTTGTTTAATCCCTAAAAAAGAGAGAACCAAATATTTTTCTTTTCCACTTCCACAAAAATTAATTTGAAAATGATATGCATCAGCTTTGACTGCCAGGGCTCTCCCTATCTGCCAACATCCTCTGGGTACAGTCACATCTGCAATTAGGATAATATCTCCAGGAGAAATGTTCTTTGTCTCATCTACTTTTGTCTTTCCAGCATTAAAGGCAAATACTCAGAAATCCCTATTTTCCAAAATAGTTCAGAGCAATACTTGTTTCCATCTTCGCCTCAGGTCTTAATGAAACAGGTTTGTTCTTTAACATCAGGATGTGATTTGGTGTGAGGGTTTCTAAATGATCTGGATCGTCAGAGACCAATGTGTGAATCTGTCATTCAAAATGGCTTCGGCCTCACAGAAAACAGTTTGCAATGTATCATTATTCAAATTCAAATTTAAAAACACTTTATTGATCCCAAAGGGAAATTAAATGTAACTCATTAATTCAAGTCCTCAGAGGGTTGTGATGATGGTGAAAGATCTCTTATAGTGGTTTGAATTACAGCGAATCTGAAGACTCGTCCATCTGTGATACATTATCTGAGTGTTTCTGTAGACACCAGAGGTGAACTTGTGCTGGAAGTCTGAAGTGTAGAGTGAAAAAGAATAGTGCGCCTGTATCGCTGAATTAACAGAAAAAATAGGGATTATGACCACGAAACAGCAAAAATATGACTGAATTTATGCCTTTAGCTTCCTGAAATTAGCTATTTATTTTTTTCTTCTTTAGCTGCTGGTTCAGTGAGTTTTGTGGTGACTCTGGTATTGTTGAAAACGGCAGAGCTTCGGCTTTACTCTGATAAATAGTTTGTGGGCATTGGGCCTCGTTGCTCTTTCATTGTTGCGTTTTTTTTGGGTTTTTTTTACCGGATATGTCTCTTTAGCATCTAATTGCGTTTCTTTTTATCAAGTTGCTTAGTGTTCAAGCTGGGTGTTGTTGAGGTAGAAAATATTGTTTCTATCATTTAGAAGGGCTTTTCCCCCGATACGTGGATATGCAATATGCCTATATTGACAAATGTATAGCATGTGTTTTTAATGATCTTATTGGGGCAAGCGCCGAGGACCCTAGCGACGGACAGTGATCACTTGAACCCTAGCAGTGGTTGATTAGCTAATTTAAATATTTGCTCTAAGCTGTCAGAAAGTAGAGGTATGGGTCGCCTTATTTTTGTGTTAACTGATTCTAAACAAGCAATTTTAAATAGCAGTCATGCAGGGGCTTTTAACGCTTTGAACAACCAATCAGAGACAGGAGATGGACTTATGTTGAAGCTATTACAGCATATCAGCTGTAAATGACTGCACAAGTGATTTACACTAGCTTCAGGCTATTAATCACCCGGGTTGTTTCTGAGTAGCAGGGGGGGCATATCCACCTTATTCCTAGCCCCCATGAGAATATGCGTGATTTATGGGCGCGATTTCCACTACAAACCAGAACCACCATTTGTTTACATGTTAGCATCTCGCTAACTGGCTTGATTTTCACAGCATTCACCCTGAATGCTGTAGGGCAGTGTTTCTCAAACTTTTTCAGGTTGAGGACCACTAAACCCATTAACAAATCCTCATGGACCACCTAACCCGAAATTGCCTCTGCATCTTAATATATGATGCAACCTGAAATGAAAATATGAATCTCTTATCTCATGTACTGTTTTCTTTCTTCATCCTCATGAGAAGACTGCTGCTGTTTGGTAAATGTGACTGGCCACGACAAAACCATTAACAGGTCTACTTGGGCATTTTGAGTTATTTACAGATTGTGAAAGTGTGGAGTCGAAGCTTTCGACTGACGTCAAACACATAGAAA